TGGGCGATAATTAGCCAATACATCTGGATCCAGGGAGGGCTTCTTAAGGAGGGGCCTCACCACCGCCTCCTTTAGGACCGCGGGGAAGGCACCCTCCCGTAGAGAAGCGTTTGTAATTCCCTGGAGCCAGGCTCGTGTACCCTCCCGAGCCGCCAGTACCAGCCAGGAGGGACACGGATCCAATAAACATGTGGTTGCAGTCTCCCCAGGATCCTGTCCACGTCCTCGGGAGCCACAGAGTCAAATTCCTCCCATATAATAAGTCTCAAGACCTGCTCCCGCCACCTCCCCCGGGGCCATCCAGTCGGAGTCCAAACCCTCTCGGATCCGAGCGACTTTGTCATGCAGATATTGTGCAAATTCCTCAGCCTTCCCCGCCAGAGGGTCCCCCCCTCTCCTCAATTGAAGGAGGGAGCGGGTCACCCTGAAGAGGGAGGCCGGGCGGTTATCTGATGACGCAATGAGGGTGGAGTAGTAATTAGACCTCGCCACCCTCATCGCCACAAGGTAGGATCTAACATGCATCCTTACCTGTGTTCGGTCGGATTCGGTACGGGTAGCCCTCCAACTGCTCTCTAGGCATCTTTTCCGGCGTTTCATCTCTCTCAGCTCCTCGGTAAACCGAGGAGCTAGTTGAGATCTACGTCGGGTCAGAGGCTGCAGTGGCACGACTCGGTCCAGTGCTGCGGCTGCGGCCACATCCCAGGCCGCAGCCTGATCTTCCGCCGAGTCGTGACCTAGCTCCTCGGGATATGGCCCAAGCTCCGTCCGGAACCTCTCCGGGTCCATCAGGAGCCTGGGACGGAACCATCTAGGCAGTAGGAGTGAGCTTAAATGGACTCCAGAAGATGGTAGAGGACATGAAGACCTGGAGTAACGTTGTCAATGGGGTCGCGATGGGTCGGACATGACTTCACAACCAACAACAACAAACTTAATTTTTGTTTAGCAAACATCTTAACTGGTTTTCCTAATTTGGGTAGATCTTCCGTTTATTACAAGAAAACTTCCTTGCCTTTTAGCCTTCCTCAATTCAGCCTAGGAACCTCTTACTAAGAGTTCACTTCTGCCCGATGGCATTTTTTATTTTAATTTGTGCCGTACATTCTGGTTTAGACGGCATTATGCATCAAGATTTAGGCTCACAGCTGTCTCAAGGCTCTGTCATTGAGCAGATCCAGATGTGCTAGGTCTCTGTCCTGCCTTTAACAGGCATATGAGTCCTAAACTGAAGGTTCTTGAAGGTACTACATTCCCCCAATGTCAAAGTTGGCACAAAGGGGTTGAGTTATTTTGCTAAGTTAAAAGAAATGTGATAAATAAAATCCTAGATTGCCTCCAGAAGTTGTGGGAGCTTCAACACTGGAGATTTTTTTTAAACAAATGTTATTAATTTTTCAAATTTTAACAACCAGGTAATTAGGAAGCAGCGTGGTGATAGGGTAATCAATAATCCAATAACAGAGTGATACATAGATATCTCAGTTTACATCAATAAAGGTTCCCTCTCTATTTCCCTTAGGAAATTCACATTCATATTAGTACATTTCTAGCTAAAGTTCAATCAATCTATATATTTATCAATAACATTTTAGTTATACATATCCAAGTCCTGTTTTTAGGTTTTATTTAATCCCAGTTATCATATTCCAATTTAGCCTTTTATAACCACTATTTATAATTCAGATAGGTTTAGTTTCCCTCATTTCATTATAGACTAATTCTCGTGACTTAAATACAAATATTATTCCAAAATTTAAATTCTTTCTTTATTCACCAATATATTCTATTTCTCATCCTAATAACTCCTCATATACTAATAACATATCTTTCATTGTTACAAATCCATTTCCCTATAACAGTGATGGAGAATCTTTTAGAGACCGAGTGCCCAAACTGCAACCCAAAACCCACTTATGCATTGTCCGGTGCCGGGTGGGCGTGGCCCATTGGGTGGGGCGTGGCCCATTGGGTGGGCGTGGCTGCAGTGGTAACAGCAGACTAGGTGGGACTAAAAAGTTCAATCAATCAATTCCAACTCTGCAAGATCTTTTTTTTTTCCCTGCGAGAAGTTGAAATTGACTGATTGAACCTTTTTTTTTGTACACAGCGGTGGAGGCCTAAAGTGAAAAGGTTTTATAAAACCCAGCTGAGGGCATAGGACTGGGGTGACGGCGCATGTGCCCACAGAGAGGGCTCTGAGTGCCACCTCTGGCACCCGTGCCATAGGTTCGCCACCACTGCCCTATAACCATTAAGGCTATAATCTAACAAATTATTTTAATTTCCATTATAAATCTGAATCCTAAATATTAAATCAGTCAATATCTCTAAGATCAGTCAAAATCTCTAAAAGAAAAGCTGCTTAACCCTCAAATGAATTTTTAAATCCCATTTTTAAATCTAACTCTGGCTTTCTTTTTTTATGCCAAGCAGGCTTCCATACCAATGCCCTTAAATCTTAACACAGGAGATTTTTTAAGAGACTGGATAACCATTTGTCTGAAATGATATAGGGTTTCCTGCTTGACCAAGAGGGTGGAGTAAAAGACCTCCAAGGTCCCTTTCAACTCTTGTTCTGTTAAGTTGCATTCAGGAGCTCATAGTGATCTGTTGTCTTGCAAATGCAAGTAGGGTCAACGATGCAACACTGTTCTTCTCCTCAGCCACATCCATCACCTTTGCTACGGAAAGCCACAGGTAGAGATACCAACTAATTCTCCCCCCATGGAGAATTTCCCTCTTGGTCATAACCAAGGCAAAATTAAAACTAAGGCAATAAGACTTAAGAGGAGAACGGCAGCCTAGCAGTTTTATTTTCAGCAAAAGAACTGTATTTTCTCCTTTGGAAAAGCCATTTCTCTTCATTGGCTTTCCGGCCCTCCGGACAAGACCACACACAACACAACCCCGGCCCAGAGCTGGTGCTTACCCTGCAAACAAAACATTCTGGGTGCCACAAGGCATTGAGAGCCGAGATGTAATTTTCCAAGATGGCCTGGCTGCACCCTTGACAGCGAGTGGAGAAGAGCTCATAAAAGTCCTGGCGACAATACTGCTTCCCGTCTTTCTCGTGAAAGCCTGCAGGGGGAGACAGAGAGTCAATATGGAAGGGACCAAAAATGGAGCAGCTCAGCAGCCACCTAAGGTGAATCAGTAGTACTGCAGGAGGCCCAATTCAGAATTCTTTCGCACTGTGGAAGCTGTGAAAATTTAGTTAAGGACACCACAACTTTCTCCAACCTGGAGCCCTCCAACTGAGCTGGACCTCAAGCCATAGAACGGGCAGCAGCCTGTTGGGTGGAGACCACAGGAAGTGAAATTCAAAAATTTTGAGGAGACCCTGATTGGGAAGACTGGTTTTGTGAGCAACCAGCAGTCCGTGAAGGCCAACAAGCACCACAGTGCTCAATTGCACATTTGTGTTGCATGTGAAAAAGATGGTTACCCGGTCGTTTGTACATTGATTCAATGTTTAAGACTTAGACCTACAACTGAGATGAAAATTATTGGTCAGATTATAGTTTGGAATTGTAATATGAAAAAGGTTTTAAATGAGGAGTTATTAGGATAAGAAATAGAATCTATATGTGAAATAGAGTAAGAATGTATCTTTTGGAATAATATGTTTATTTTAGGTATGATAATCACTTTCTAATGGAATGAGAACAAGGAAATGGATGGTGACAATAGAAGACGTCGTATTAGTAAATGAGGAATTATTAGAATAAGAAAGAGAATATATTTGAGAAATGCAAGAATGTTACTATTGGAATAATATGCTTATTTTAGACATTATAATTATTATGTTATGAAACGAGGGAAATTAGGGATACCCGAAGTGTTAACAATATGTTTATTTAAGGCTAAATTGGAATGTGGTAATTGAAACTTAGTAAAGCTTAAAACAGGATTTGGACTTCCATAGGTAAAATGTTATTGATAATTCTATTGATTGATTGAATTTTATTTAGAAATGTATTAATTTGAATATGTTATACCAATTGAGGGAAATAGAGAAGGAACCTTTAAGGAGTTATCCTGAGCTATACATGTATGATTTTGTTTTTGGATAATTGATTACCCCATCCCCACATTGTTTCCTAAGCACTTTGATGTAAAAATTGAAAAATTAATAAAACTTGTTACAAAAAAAAAATTTTTTTTTTGAGGAGATCCTGATTGGGAAGACTGGTTTTGTGGGAAACCAGCAGTCCATGAAGGCCAACAAGCACCACGGTGCTCAATTGCACATTTGTGTTGCACGTCAAAAAGATGGTTACCCGGTCATGCATTGTATCAAACCTTCTCCATGACACCATCCCGTCTCTACCATTCTCCCTATGACCTTTGGAGCATAAAAACAATAAACTTTATCCTCTGGCATTGAGAAAAAAAAGACTTGGCCATGATTTAGTGGACACATCCACCTTATGTCAGCCTTCTCAGGTGAGATCAAGACAGAAAACACAACCAAACAAGCTGATTCTACATCATCGCAAGGCCACATTAATAGAATCTTGCAAGTCTGAAGACTACAGACCTCCCACTATCTCTTTTTACAGGATGGTGAGGATTTTCTTTCTCTGCCTGTGACGCAGCTCCACCTTTCTTACATGATCATTCCCTAGGCCAGGGGTAGGAAACCTTGGCTCTTTTATGACTCAGGGACTTCAACTCCCAGAATTCCTGAGCCAGCCATGCTGAGGGGAAAGGGAGAGTTTCCAAGTTGAGCATGCTGGCTCAGGAATTCTGGGAGTTGAAGTCCAAGAGTCCTAAAAGAGCCAAGGTTGCCTACCTACCCTTGCCCTAGGCAGCCTCTGTGTCCCAAGGTCATTCCCACACACCGTTCCAGGTACTCCTCGACTTACAACCATTCATTTAATGACTGTTCAAAGTTACAACGGCACTGAAAAAAGTGACTTAGGACCGCTTTTCACACTTACGACCATTGAGGCATCCCCATGGTCGCCTGATCAAAATTCGGATGCTTGGCAACTGGTTCATATTTAGGACGGTCGCAGTGTCCCGGGCTCATGTGGATCACCTTTTGCGATGTGGGGGAAGCCAGATTCACTTTACCGCTGTGTTTACTAACTTAACAACTGCAGTGATTCGCTTAACAGCTGTGTCAAGAAAGGTCGTAAAATGGGGCCAAACTCACTGAACAACTGTCTTGGTTAGCAACATACATTTTGGGTTCGATTGTGGTCATACGTCGAGAACTACCTCAGGCAGTCCTCCACACAGGACCGTTATGCAAACTGAACCGAATGCGCAGTCACTAAGCGAACTAAGGGTTCATTATGGCACAACGTTTTGCCGGAAACCAGAATTAAGTACCAGTTTTCACCAAAAGCATTGTAAAACACGATCACGTGACCGCGGGATGCTGCAAACAATTGTCAAAGCCGCACCAATGAGCTCCCGAAGCTTGGTCACGTGACCACAGAAGAGACTCTTTCTTAGGTTGGATGTAACTTCGCACAGCCGCTAAGCGACAAGTTGTAGGTCAAGGACTACCTGTAACTCATGTGAGGTCAATTCGTGACAAAAAAAGTTTGAACCCCATTGAAAGGTACATCTGAAGAGTCCCAAACAGGATGGAACTGGTAAAAATCAAATTCTCTCCCTGCCAGCTGCTGTACTGACCTTCCTCCCCGAAGGGCCGCCCACACTGGACGCAGCAAAAGTGCTCCGGGTGCCAATTCTTATCCAGCGCTGTTACCATTTTCTGAATGGACCACAGGAAGGCCGAAGAAGGAAGGGGGTGGGGAGAGAAAAAAACCACTTTGTCAAAAATGTGCTAAATATGGTTATCGCTGCTCTGCATTTCCCAGGGTTTCTTAAGTTGCTCAACCCTGTTTTTTGGCCTCCTATGTTTCAACCAATTCCTGTTGTATCATAGCTCCCTGTGAATCATTCCAGCAAAGTTTTTTAATTGCAATCCTACTGGTTGCTGGCGTTTTCACTTCCAGTTTCTGGCAAAAATTCCCATGGAAGAAGATGAGTTTGCTTAAAAACCTGTGGTGCTTGCTTGACGCCACAGAGCTGGCTTAACGGCCGTCGCAAAAAAGATGTAAAAATCAGGCACAGTCAGGTAGGTGGAGGTCAAATCACTGCAGCCAACTTGGCCACGGGACAAGAGTCACACTGATATCAAAAAATGGTGGAATAGAATCATTAAAGAACGGACGCCAAAAGAGGGACAAAATAAAATGTGAACGACAACCAATTAAAATATTTTTTAATTATTTTAAATAATTAAATTGAGTTGTTGAATTGGCCCGCGGTGAGTTGTCTCGTGGTAAGTTGGCTGTGGCGAATTGGCCCATTCCACAATCAGGTGGTGACCCATTTAACGGTCACGACAATTTACAACTCATTCTGGGCTCAATTATGGTCATAAGCCAAGGACCACTGTACCACCCGCTTCATGCTACGATTCAGGCAGTGAAAGTTGTAGGAGTTTACCCTGCAAATAACACAACACACAACGCTCCTAGTTTGATTTCTAACCCTATCGGAACATGAAAGACAGGAAAGGCCCTCATAATAGCTTTGTGGTCTGAAATAAAAAGGGAAAGTGCACTGAGGCGCCTCTACCGCTATCTGGCGCTCAGGCTGCTGAGGAGAAAAATGGTGAAATGAATGAACAGATCCCCCAAATTCGCATTCGGGATTGGACCCTCAGGAAAACCACACAGATCACACAGCAGTGGCTCAAAAGTGCATCAAATGTTTTCACGCAGGAGGAAAGAAAAAAACCCCTCACATCCAGGATGGGTTCGTTGCAGAATCCGCAGCGGGGAGAGAAGAGCTGGAAGTAATCTCTCTCGCAGTAGGGGGCGCCGTCCTTCTCAAAAAAGTTGCTGCCCCCCATCTCCTTCTGGCAGTAGGTGCAGACAAAGTGCTCCGGGTGCCAGGTGCTCCCCAGGGCGGTCACCACCTGGACGAGGAAAAAATGGAAGGAAGAAGGCCACGTCAACAATCGGCACGTTCTCCATCCGACGGCGACGTTACAGGCCGTCCTCGACTCACAACAGTTCATTTGGGGACTATCCGAAGTTACAACGGCATTGAAAAGCATAACTGATGACCGTTGTTTCACACTTAGGACCATTGCCTTCCTCCCCATTTTTGACACGATCGAAATTCTGACGCTTGGCCACTCACTCATATTTATGACGGTTGCAGTGTCCCAAGATCGTGTGTTCTCCTTTTGTGACCTTCTGACGAGCAAAGTCAGTGAAGAAGCCAGATTCACTTAACAGCCGTGTTATTAATTTAACAACGACGGTGATTCGCTTAACAACTCTGGCAAGAAGGGTCGTAAAATGGGGCAAAACTCACTGAACAAATACCTCACTTAGCGATGGAAATTTTGGGCTCTATTGTGATCATAAGTCGAGGACTACCTGTATTTATTTATTTTATTTTTAAATTTAATATCCCACTTTTATTATTTTTACAAATCATTCAAGGCGGTGAACATATCCAACATACCTTCCTCCTCCTATTTTCCCCACAACAACCCTGCAAGGTGGGCTGGGCTGAGGGAGACTGACAGGACCAAAGACACCCAGCTCGCTTTCAAGCCCAAGGTGGACTAGAACTCACCGTCTTCTGGGGACTGGCCCAAAGTCACCCAGCTGGCTTTCACGGCTAAGGTGGGACTAGAATTCACCATCTCCTGGTTTCTAGGCCAGCACCCTAACTGCTAGATCAAACTGGCTCTATATCAGCGGTTCTCAACCTATGGGTCACGACCCCATTTGGGGTCGATCGACCATTTCACGGGGGTCGCCAAGCAAGGCTGTCTGCCATTTTTTCCCCTTTTCTGGCGGGTGCTTTACTTCCCTTGAGCTGGGCCAGCTGGTGGTCGGCCTGCTCAGTCTCTGCCACTTGCCAGCTACGCCTCGGCCAGCGCAGGGGACGGAACCATGCATGCGCGGCGCTCCCGGGCAGGGAAAGTCCTCAACTTACGACCGGTTGGGTAGTCCTCGACTTACGACCGGTTTAGTCCTCGACTTACAACTGGTTTAGTCCTCGACTTACGATCGGTTGGGGGTTGCGGCATTAAAAAGGTTGAGAACCACTGCTCTATATGAAAGACCTCTGCTCCCAAAAGTCTCTTGCTCCTCTATTCTTCCACGGACGGCAGTTTATTTGTTTTTTATTTTATTTATTAAATTTATATGCCGCCTGCTCCACTGTCAAGCAACTCTGGGCGGCTTACATCATAAAAACAAAAGTACAAAACATTAAATATTAAAATGAACAAAGATTAAATGGGTTAAAACTCAGAATATTTTCTTTTTTAAAAAAAAAATTCTTTTTTTTAAGATATGAGAAATGTAAAAGTGTTGGGATGGCCTGTACGAGGAAAAAAAGACTTAAATGCTTAAGTGTAATGAAAATCTTAACCAGTAAGAATGGTTTGAACATTGTGGGGGAAACAAATTTAAATAAGAATTTTAAACAGGATCTGTGATAAGGCAATCAAGATGATCAGTTAGAAAAGAAGTTTTCTATCAGTGTGGTTATTATTTGCGGAAATATTAGAAAAAAAATGTCTATATTTAACTGTTGTTTATCCAAATAATAAGAACTGTATTAATTCAAGGAGGGCAAAAGAGAACATTTTTGGAAGAAGAGAACATCAAGCCAAGCTACTATGTGGACTATAGAATTATAGAAACTAATTGTTATTGTTTTTTAAATATAAACCCAGACAACATGATGTTTACCAAATATTAAGGTGATTATGTAAAAAAAAATATTTTTTTTTTAAAAAACTCAAGAACATTACAGGGTGGAGAAGAGATCTTCTCCCTAGTCCAGTGGGGAACACTCGCTTTGGGGCCCGGTTTTGAGATTCTTTCAGAGGGCAAAGATGGCGGGAACATCTCATCCTGAGGGGCAGAATGTTCCAGAGGCTCTTCTGCACACTGTGGAATTCAGTTGCCAATGTGGTCAGTTCCTGGATCAACCCATTTCCTGGATTCACGTAAGGAACTGAACCATAAAGTAGCCAAACAGGCTGGTTTGCAAAAGACCAAGAGGGAATGGGGGGAGGAGACTAAACTGAGCCTTTAAACTAAACTAATTTGGCCTTTTCCGCAGGTCCAGCTGTTAATGGGTTCAAGACTGGATTGGCCGAGCCCCTGATAAAGTGCGCTCATCTCCTTGGCCTTTCCAGTTCTGAAATTCTTTAAAGGTTCAAATCAGAGCCCGCAGCAGCTATAAATCTAAGCCTAGGCCTAAGCCTAAATCCAAATTACAGCAATAGAAAGAGTCAGCAATTTCTTCTTCAGCCTTCCATGATAAGTGTCGTGATTCCGTGCCAGCCTGTGTTCCCAACAGCTGAGTCTGGGGAATCTGAGGAGGAGGTGGAGGAGGCATTTGAAGGGCCATCAGGGTCAGAGGGAGGCTCTGATGAATTACAAGACTCACGGTTTGATGAAGAGCCTGGGCCCTCCAGTCGTGTTCCTGATGAAGCTCAGCTGTGTGGGGAGAATGAGTCAGACTTGGAGGACTCACACCTGATGGACATGCTGATTGATGCTCGTACACGCCGGCAATTAGCGAGAGCAGATCAGCAGCAGTCAATACGACAACTCCAGGGGAAGAGGAGAAGGCACTGAGAGGCAACGCCTTGGGACTGCTGCATAAAGGGGGAGGGTGTGGGCAGTGCTGGTTGCTGAAGGCCACCGTTGCAAAGTACTTCATGGGATCGTGTTCTGTTAGTATTGCCGGTGACTACTTTTCTGTTTGCATCGTGTTTCGTGTGGACAATTTCCTCCATTTGGATTGTGTTTTGCTGCTTTTGTTTCTGGACTATTTGGCAGGTTTGTCACCCATATTAAAAGGGGTTTGTTTTGTTTTAAGTCTCCAGCCTATTTTCTCAACAGGGGTTTGGTCCTTGTGCCTTTAACAAGGACGGCTATAGGNGGAAAGGTGGAGAAGGATTCCATAGCAGTTAAAAACTCACAAGAAGGGGAAAGGTCTGGCTACCGAAGCTGATGGGAGTTGGCAGAGATGGCTAAACTGACCGTTTTGATGAAAGAAAATAATATAAAGTACTTTTGTTTCTACTTGGAGACCGCTTCTGGATTTTGTGCTTGAGGTGGAAAAATAATATGAAACTTTGTTTTGGGGTTTTACTGATTCGATTGATTTTTCGTGATAGAAATAATTTATACTATTATGGAAACGTAAAAAGTTGAGGTTCGATGTTAATGCTTTATTCTACTGCCCCAGAGGAAGTTAGTGCCTTTTCTTTTTCCCTTCTCCCCCTGACTTTCCTTTCCCTTCTCCCTCCCCACTGGGTCCTACTATTTGCTTTTGTGTTTTTGTATTTTATTCTATAATCCAGTGGTGGCGAACCTATGGCATGGGTGCCAGAGGTGGCACTCAGAGCCCTCTCTGTGGGCACGCGCACCGCTGCCCCAGTCCCAGGCCTTCAGCTGGGTTTTATAAAACCTTTTCGCTTTAGGCCTCCGGCACTGTGTGCTCCCCCCCCCCAAAAAGGCTCAATCAATCAATCAATCAATTTCAACTTCTCACGGGGAAAAAAAAACATCTCGGAAAGTTGGAATTGGTTGATTGAACTTTTTGGTCCCACCCAGTCTGCCGTTACCACTGCAGCCACGCCCACCCAATGGGCCACACTCACCCAATGGGCCACACCCACCCAATGGGCCACACCCACCCGGCACCTGATGATACATAAGTGGGTTTTGGGTTGCAGTTTGGGCACTCGGTCTCTAAACGTTTCGCCACCACTGCTATAATCTAATACGATGTCACAAATTGGAAAAAAGAAAAAAAAAAGAAGGGAAAAAGTTTGGCAGACAAATGTCTACTTAATTCCAGATGGGATGTTGATTCATCCTGATTTCCCACCAGATCTACCCAGATGTGTCTGACCCACATAGAAGACGACGCTGACCTGCCCAGCGATAGGTTTTTGACAGGACGCACACAGGCCCTTGGCTGTGGTGGAAATGCCTTGGCGGCTGAGATCCGACTCCAGCATCACCAGCATGCTGTCCAGGTTCCCACTGGGCTGGCCTGGGGACATCTGAGGAGACACCGCAGTAGGGCCTGGGCAGACAGATGACACCACCGGCTGTTGAGCTGAGGGCATTTGGGTGGGAGCGGGTGCTGGTGGAACCGTGGTGGCGGTCGTGGTAGTTGTGGTGGGGACAGAGACTCCTGGAAGCTAGAGATTTAGGAAACATAAGGCAGTTATGAATCACCTATGACAGGGATAGGCAACCTTGGCTCATTATGACACGTGGACTTCAACTCCCAGAATTCCTGAGCCAGCTATGCTGGCTCAGGAATTCTGGGAATTGAAGTCCACGAGTCATAAAAGAGCCAAGGTTGTCTACCCCTGACCTATGACGAGTGTCATCCATTGCTATTTCTTTTATTTGGATCAAGGCTCCAGAGCTGATCTCCAGAAACATTAAGAGAATTGCTTTCTTCTGGGTTATGTGAAAAGGATGTGCTGTGAATTTACAATACAGGTAGTCCTCGACTTACAACAATTCGTTTAGTGACCACTCAAAGTTACAACGGCACTGAAAAAAGTGACTTATGACCAGTGGTGGGATTCAAATATGTGAACAACCGGTTCTGTGTGTGGATGCTGCTTCCGGAAGTCCATTCTGAGCCTGGGCAACAAAAAATTGGCTATTGGTTCTACCGAAGTGTTGCAAACCGGCTGAATCCCACCACTGCTTATGACTGTTTTTCACACTTACGGTCGTTGCAGCAACCCCACGGTCACGTGATCAAAATTTAGAGGCTTGGCAGCTGGTTCATATTTATGACGGTTGCAGCGTCCCGGGGTCATGTGACTCCCTTTTGTGACCTTCAGACCACCAAAGTCAATGGGAAAGCCAGATTCATTTAACAACCGTGGTACTGACTTAACAGCTGCAGTGATTCACTCAACAAATGTAGCAAGAAAGGCAGTAAAATGCGGCAAAAGTCGCTTAACAAATTTCTCACTTAACGACAGAAACTGGGGGCTCCATTGTGGTCGCAAGTTGAGAACTACCTGTATGGTCTGACCAAATAAAGTTAGGACGGTGCCCGGCATGGCTGAAAAAAAAAAAAGGATACGAACATCTAAGTTCTCCGAGTAAACTCAAGGCTCAAAAATTTCCAAGGTGCCTGAAGGCAGGACAAGAAGCAACGGATGGAAACTGATCAAGGAGAGAAGCAACCTAGAACTAAGGAGAAACTTCCTGACAGTTAGAACAATTAACCAGTGGAACAACCTGCCCCCAGAAGCGGTGAATACTCCAACACTGGAAGTTTTTAAGAAGAGACTGGACAGCCATTTGTCTGAAATGGTATAGGGTTTCCTGCCTGAGCAGGAGGTTGGACTAGATGACCTCCAAGGTCCCTTCCAACTTCTTTATTATTATTATTATTATTATTATTATTATTATTATTATTATTATTATTATTATTATTATTATTGGCCAGAGAATCGTCAAGCATTTTTTTTTTTACGAAAAAAGAACTTTCTAGTTAGTTATACTTCACGAAAACGGTTCTGAGGGCATCGAGAGCCATTACATTCTGAGGAGGCAGCTGGAAGTAGACCTGGTGTGTGTTCGTTTGTGTGTGTGCATGTGTCTGTGTGTGTGCATATGCATGTAGAGAGAGGCTGACTTTTGTTCAATCCAACTACTCATGCCATTTAGTTTAATTTAGGCAAACCTAATCTTTCTGTCTCATCTGTAGAAATTATGCGTATGTGGAGGAAAAGGTGCAAGATATTGAACCTTTCCCAAAATTTCTATCTGTAGGGAAATACACAGGCATGCACACACACACACATGCAATCGCGCACACAAAGCTTCTATGATTTGTCACACTGTTCTGCCTTTCCTTGCAACTAAGACTAAGGACATACTTTTTAAAAAGCAAACCCATGGTTTGCAGAATATACTTAAATAAATAATAAGGATGATGATGATGATGATGATGATGATGATGATGATGATGGAAGGGACCTTGGAGGTCATCTAGTCCAGAAGTAGGCAACCCAAAACACTCAAAGAGCCACTTGGACCCGTTTCCCACCAAAAACAAAACACTGGGAGCGCAAAACCCTTTTGATATCTAAAATGAAGATAACACTGCATATATCCTTTTTTACCTTTATTGTATGTATTTATGTATGTATATATGTATGTGTGTGTATGTATGTATGTATACATATATGTGTGTGTATGTATGTGTATATATATATCTTCATTTTAGATGTCAAAAGGGTCTCTCTCCCTCCCCCTCTCTCTTTCCTCTCTCTCTCTCCCTCCCTCCCTCTTTCTCTCTCTCCCTTTCTCTCTTTCCTCTCTCTCTCTTTCTCTCTCCCCCCCTCTCCCTCTCTCTGATCTTCTGCTCACCTGGCAAGCTGGCTTCAAGCTGTTCTCCAACAAGCTGACACACATTCTTATTGGGCTAGCTCAGGGGTAGGCAACCTCGGCTCTTTTATGACTCATGGACTTCAACTCCCATAGCTAGGTTAGCTAGCTCTCTCCTGCCCTTCCTGCTTCCTGCTTCTGCTCCTGCAGAGATGCAGCAAAGGGAGGAGCCCCGCCCAATAAGATTGTTAGCTTGTCGGAACAGGGTGAGGCTATTTTCTTTTTTACACACACACACACACACACACACTGTCTCTGTCTCTCTCTGCAGAGGGCAGAGGCTGGGAGCCACAGGGAAGGCTCAAAGAGCCGCATGCGGCTCCGGAGCCACAGGTTGCTGACCTGTGATCTAGTCCAACCCCCTGCTCAGGCAGGAAACCCTATACCATTTCAGACAAATATCTGTGGGGTCCTTGGTCCTCTCTGAGCTTAGTGGTTTTCTTGTAGACATTTCATTACCATACTAGATAACATCCTGAATGCTAGCAGGGTGTGGGATTTTCTCTCTCTACTCTCTCTGCCACTCTCTAATGGCACTGATGATGTTACTTAGTTTGGTAATGAAACATCTGCAAGTAAACCACCAAGCTCAGAGGGCACCAAGGTTCCCCACGGTTCGACCTTGACCTACAAATATTTTCTTCTATATCTACACTTACATCACAATACTGTGATCAAACCCCAAACAATACTGAAAACTCCCGGGTCCCCTTCGTCTTCAGCCCTAGGGCTTCCTGACCAGCAGGCTTACATTGCTCTGGACGCGGAAATCCGACAGGGAAGCCATGAGCTTGTCGAGCTCCAGAGTTGCTGAGGTGGCCGTTGGCTTGACAGATGGAGACATTGTTGACCTGTGATAAGAACAGCCATTTTGAAAAGGTGTAAATTAGATGGGGTTACATGTCTGTATCCTCACTCTGGTAACTAACTGCAAATCCTACTGTAAATGACCGAATCTTAAGAATCTCTCTAATGGAGAAGAACCTTTCCATCCTATTTCCTATGGTAGAAAAATCTTTTCCTTGAAAAATTATCCTTTTTATAATCTCAAAGGAGGAACACTTCTAATATGCTGGGTGGGGTAATGTATTCCACTTCAGCAGTGGATATTTTGATCTCTTGATTCTCTAAGCGGGTGTTTCTCAAGCTTGGCTATTAAGATGGGTGGACTCCCAACTCCCAGAATTCCCCAGCCAGCATGGGGGATCTTAAAGTGGCCACATTCCCAGGTTATAAAATGGGAATACTAATTACCTATCATGACAAAGAACTTTAGTTAGTAGTTAGATTTGGTGCATCAAAAACCATGTTTTTCAGACCACTTTAGGAAGAGTGGCAAATTCTACCTCAGCTTCTCCCATGTATGTGCCACTTACCGGGATAGAGAAGTACCGTCTGTCGAATCGTCTAATCTCTCTTTGTCCTTGTCTGCAGAAGGACTTTTGCTGGATGGGAATTGGGACATTATTTCATCTGGGGAGAAAGGAAAGGAGAGGAGAGGAGAGGAGAGGAGAGGGGAGGGGAGGGGAGGAGAGGAGAGGGGAGAGGAGAGGAGAGGAGAGGAGAGGAGAGGAGAGGAAAGGAGAGGAGAGGAGAGGGGAGAGGAGAGGAAAGGGGAGATGAGAGGAGAGGAA